TAGACTCCAAAAGAGGCATTTATTTCAATTTATCACTAGGACAACTCCAAGGGGTAACAACGAATTGAAGGTGCTCCCTTCTATTTGAAATTTCTCTCCTCGCTTGCATTTCTTTTCAACAATGATAGGAGTTCTGCAGTAAATTGTCAGATAATATAGCCATATTGTGGTTTTAAAGAATGAAAATATGCCTGATTTAAAGAAATCTTATTCACTCTTACTTCTGTCCCAAAGCAAGTAACAAAACTCAGACAGGCAGGGAGGTGGGAGAATTATTTCACACCATCCAGATTACCAGGTCCAATCCCAAAAACCTGGGAAGAAGGTTTACACCTGAGTAAAATTACATGTAAAGGGGGGGGGGGGTGCCAAATCATCTCCCTTGCAGAATTTAGCTGGTTAGATAGTGGCAGCCTTCCCAAACCCAGTCTGCCAGGTCACCTACCAGTTGGCTGCCATGCCTGGCATGCACCCTTCTCCACAGTGGATGGTCACTGCCCCAGGCTGCCATTTTGTCCTCGGCTGCCAGTCCCCTCTGCTTTCTGCTAGTTGGCAGCTGCCATTTTTTTTATAATCTTGTGGATGATCCAACAATGGCCCATTAAGCCAGGGAACTATCCTGCACTTTAGAAGCTCATGCTCCATTCAACCCTTTCATCTCCCAGTAGACACCATTTTGGTTTCTGCCCAGCTTGGATGAAGCATGATCCTCTTGCTGTCCTACCCCCTACCCCCAATACTGCAAAGCTTCCCTTCCCCCTGCCCACCCCTTGAAAAAAAACCCTACTATTTTAAGCTTACACTACTACTTTGTTTCTAGGAAATTGAGCTGTCAACAAGGACAGCATCCTTTCTACATTTCCCCAGGCCTATAGAAGAACTTAGGAACGGAAGATGCTACTCCCTGTTGCTTTGATTATTACAGCATCACTGCAAAAAGGGAAGGTCTGCATGACTGTAGTGTCAAAGGAGGTCATGTGCCAACAGCTGGGAAAGCAAAAGCAGTAGGATTAGTGAGGAGGGAATAATCCCTAAGAGGAGAAGGTGGGGGCTGGCAGACCTGCTGACCCAGAGGCCAGCCAGTGAGGCTTGTCTCCCCTGCATGGATGAGAAAGGCAAGAAACAGAGGAACCACCAATCATCCCCCCTACTGGCCATTGTCTGGAGTGAGCACTAGCTTGGCCCCTTTGCCAACCCATTACAATCCAGAGTGGAATCTCTGAAGTTGATTTAAGAAATAGCCAGGAGTAGAACAGGAGCCAAACATCTTGGGTTGCAATATGGAATTGACCGAAGTCTAAATATTGTAAATCCAGTTATAAAATTTAAACCTTCTTATAATCCCTTCCTCCCTGGTTTGTTCTCCCTCCCCTCCCCCCCTCCTTTAGGCTGGAGAAAGTTGGCTTTTTATTCCTTCTAGCAAATACACGTTGACTTGATCTATGTGGCACTTTGCTTACAGCATCTGCAGAAGAAGCTTGGCTGACCAATCCATTGATTTTTAGATTCATCACTTCTTCCTCGCTCCAATAGACAAACTACACCACTGCAACCCTCAGCATAATTTTCTTTCCTTTTTCTTTTTGAAGATGTGCATAGGGGATTTGCACTGGGTAATGGAAATGCTTTGAACTTTTTTATTCTATGCTGCAGACATGATCATCAGACATTTGAGTTTAGTCACCAAGGGGGAACTTTGAGCGTCTGCATTTTATACACAAAAAAGTATTTGCTTTCAGAGACATGTGCAAGGAGGAACAGATGAACTAAAGCAGTGTTGTGGCATTGCAATGGAATGTCTGCCCCCTTTCTACAGGCATTGTGATGTTGCATCTATGACCCAACCCGGCACATGTTGTGTCACAACACAGTGTAATTCTGACCCAAACAGCTACTTTCTACAGACACTGCTGCCTGCTCTTAGAATTAGGCTGTGAGTTCTGATGTGGAGTGTAATTTGCCCCTAATTCTTGCTTTGCAGAAACAGCAAATTTTAATGTTACCATTTTCATACTGCATCTACAGAGCATAGGAAGGTCCTTCTTCCTGGTGGACATGAAATGATCATTCATGTGTATTGCCAAACTACGAAGGTGGCTGTTGATGGTGATGATGATGATGATCTGTAGCAAAGATGCTCTCTTAGTTGTCCTGTTTTCAACTTAGCTAAAGGCTTCTAAGTTTAATATATTTAAAGGAATTACATACCTGGCAGCCAGCTTTTGGGCAACTGGATAACAACCTACATCTTGCTACAGTAGTCCATGAAGAAATGAACCAGCAAAAAATTCCACTTGCAGGGATAATGGAGTAACATCTGGTTAATTTAATGTGATTGCGAGACTTTCTCATTTCAGTATTTTAGCACTCTTTCTCATTGAGGTAAATGGTGGAGGCAAGGGAAGGGGCAAACGACATCATAAGCATCCTGATGTCATTGTCCAAATGATGTGAATTATGTCATTTGCATCACTCATTCACATTACTTACCTGATAGTGTCATGGCACTTGTGGCTTCTACTGGACACCTACTGTATGCCTACATTTAATGTTGATGTGGGATTGCATATTAATAGCTGATCAACAGGCTTTCGGCTATTTCGGATTTATTTCCAGTCCTGTGAATACCTAAGTAGCCACTGAGGATTTCATAAAAGATATGTTATGGTACATCCCTTAGCAAACTGGATCCATCATAGAGGCTAAAAGAAGGGTGTTTCATATTCACCAAATTATAATTCCTGGGCTTCCCTGAGGGAAGTCACCAGAGTAAAAATATGAAACGGATACATTTGTTGGCTAAACAGGGACTTCACAGCAGGTTCTTTCAAGCGATACAATCAACATGATGGACGTTTTTAGCACTCCTGCAGCAACTTTGCATTTTTGAGTGAAACTGAAACTCCATGAAAGGGCATGCTGCATTACATCAACGGGTCATACACTTTTGAAAGTTCCCATATTTTGATTAGAATTGCATATATGTGTACGGACTCCTATCCACACCACCTGACTTAACATAAGCACGCTTACGAAGACTAAGAGCCTTTCCATGCTACTCATTTAAAATGGTATCCATTGATCCCTGGGTCAGCAGAAAACAATGCTGGACTTGTAGATCCTCCCTCTACTGTCTCTAAGTCACTGCCCAATGGTGCTGCCTTGCCTATTCATGTGCAGTACAGGATAAGCAAAGTAATCGGTTGATTCCTCCAACTTTGCTGTCCTGTCTTCCGCACCTTCCCAACCAGAGGGAAAGACATCTGCCAGTCACGGCACCACAGCAGGAATGGGGTGGCTCCAGCTGCAGGACTCAGCTCATTACACCTGGCTTCTTCTGCGTTGCCGCCTCCATCATCCCATTCTGTTTTTGTTTTTTTTTAACAGATTAGTTACAAAGGCAGCCAGATCACAAGCAATGCTTTAAGATTTCTGTACCCTTCATTTATATAGGCCACAAATGCAGGCTTCCAGAGTCCATGTTCCATTCAGGAGATAATTTGAAGTGGAGGAGGGGGAGGTTTGGTCCCACCATTCCATTATGGCAGTCTTGTGTTACATTGGTACCAGCCAAGGTTAAAACATTTATAATCCTGCCAACTAAGCAGTCGACTGCAACGCTTCTCCAATTTTCCCTAGCTGTAGACCATTACATATGGCATTAGATTTAGAAAATGCAAAGATCATCCAACATAACAAACAACCCACTCCTTGTTTTTTCATCTTTAAGAACATAGCAGCTCACTTTTTTTTGGCAGATAATTACAGGTCCATTTGGTATGCCCAAGGCCTCTTAAAACTAAATATTGTACCCCCAAATTAATCCAAAGTATCTATTTACCATTTGAATCACTTTATATACTCCCATTCTTAACTTGCTGGTCATCCATGTCCTTCAGTAGAAATCTCTTGAATACTAAGGGGCTGCTGGATGGCGGATCTCCAGCCCAATAAAATCTCATTTGTAGATTATTCGCATTTTTCTTTTTGCAAGTTCCACTTAGCACAACACATGCAGACTCACAGTAAAAAAAAAAAAATCAGTTTTCTTAATTTGATTATTCACATTGTTATCACTTGTTTGCTTTAATGGACAGTTTTCAGCGATTGACATTTCCTCATGAACCAGTTGTCAGGGGACATGGGGAGGCAAGGTCTGAGGTGATGGGCAGGCTTTCACCAAATCCTGGCCACCATGGGGAGGCAGGAGTGAGGGGAAAAAATGTGCTCTGGCCCCTGAAAATGGAATGGCTGCAGCAAATCTCCTGGTGGATCTCTGCAGACCATGTCCATATAAAAAAAAAAAAAGTCCACGGCCTACACTTTTAAGAATCACTACTATAGAGGATGTAAAACAGCAACACCCAAGTTTCATGTTGAACTATATATACTATGGGAACGTATTTGTGGGAGGAACTTATTTACATGCAGCTACAGCAGGATTACAAGAACAACACAAAGGGAAACTCTGTACTTAAAAAGGTAGCTGCATTGATTTTCTGCAAATCCAAAGGATCATTATTACAACACTGCTGAGACCACCTCCTCAAGACATCATAATAGCAAATGAGGCTGACTGGGGACCAGAGAAAGGGTGTGCCTACCGCAACCTGAAATTGTCAATGTGCATCTCTTTGATTCATCCCACTACAGAATGTACAGCAAGCTTAGCAGATTTTACACATTTCTTGCAACTATCATTGAATGATGCCAGTTTAAGCAGGGAAACATTTCTCTAGTACCAGTACAACTAAGGATGACTCAAGCCTGTCTCATTTTTGGCCTGAGGATGAGATCAAAGGAAATACAGCAAGAAAAAAGGTTTTGCATCTGGTGCATGGTCAGGTGCAGAAAGACACAGACCCAATGTGTCTGCACAGGTGGGCTTTACGGGGATGCGAATTTCAAACAGATAACTATTGATTTATTTTCTTTCTGCTAACATGCTGTTTTGGCTCTGCAAATATAGCAAATCATTCCAGCAATTTCACTAATAGTAGCTTCTTGCTTTTAATGTTTGCAAATATCAACATATACAAAGTAGAAATGTCTTGAAACAAATCATTGCAGCATTTTTTCATGTAACATATAATCATTTTGAGAAACATGTGTCACCAGAGTCTGTAGATGAATATAGCTTTGATTACTTCAGCAATATATACAAACTAACTTTTACATATATACACACATATATTTTACAAATAATAAATAGGAACAATTAAAGTCAAAATATATCTTCTCATACATAAAATTCCTCTCGATCAAGTGCTATTGGCACTGTATTTGACTTTGCATTAAAAATCTTCAACTTGTTAAGACACTGTCTTTTAAACCTCACTCCTGAGAAATTGGCTTTATCCAGAAGAAACGATGTACGTCTTTAAATATGTCCTTCAGTGCTCACTTATCAAACTTAAGTTCTTCCTGCCTGAATGAAAGACTGGTGGATTGGGAAACCATTTCAATAAAAAATCTTAGAAGTATTGCATTTAATTTTTACCACACATTTATTCAATGATATTTCTTATAATAGGAAAAAGATTATGTTGGACAATCAGGTGCTAAAGTGGCAGTACTCAAGCACTCTTATGTTTTTATGTATCTTCACAGAAGTATAAGTTATCTTCCTTGTTTTAGTGTACAACTTACTAAACCACTGTGAATATAGTTGGTTGCAACTTCAAAAGTCTGAGATTTTGGTTAAAAAACTAAAACTAGTGAAATTATTTTGAACATGCCGATAAATGCTCATTAAAATATCTGTATCAAATACCTCTTTTGTGTGTCCATACTTTCTGATTCAAAGAATATTTGTGTGTTCTCCAAAAGTGTATAATACTACAAGACTATAATACACAACATAATTTACATTATTTTAGGGAAAAAACACTATATTTTTCAGTTTCTGTCATTCTTATTGCTGGGCAACAAACAAAAGTTCTATTTTCAAAGTTAGAAACACCAGTATCAAAAAAGAGGAACATTATTTGTTGGGATATGGATCTGTGGAAGTTACCACTTCAGTTGTCATCACTGTCCACAATCAATACAATAATTTTGTGTCTGGTAACAAAACTGTTATAAGAAGTAATATCTGTACAATTTTTAAATACTGCAGCTCCTTTTTAGGGATAGTTATTTGATAAAGATGAGTATGTTTAGTACAAATGCATTAGGTTCCTTTTTAATGGAAAAGCATGAGGCACTGAAAATGCTAGGTATTTTCTCCTGTGGTGAATTTATTGTCATATAAAGACGTTATAGATTGCTAAGTGATTCCTAAATTTAATTATTTACCCACTGTGAAAGAGCTTAGTCTGGAAACTTTCAGACCTACGAAGCATCATTATTCAGAAATATATTTTGGCTTGTAAGCATATATTGAATAAGAAGTCTATATATTGCTCTTAATTGTTTAAAAGAAATTTATAGCCAGCCAAAGCTCCAAAACTGCACAAATCATCTACGTGGACATTGCACAGCCAAACACCCACTTGTAAAACTTAAAAAAAACAAACTTTAGCCGAAATCCATGTAAAAATAAGCAGTTCTTAAATAAATAGGGTTTTTTTTTTTTTACACAAGTGCATTATAAAACAAGAGCCTTGTCACAAAGGGATATAAGAATTATTGCCGTTTGCTCTGAATAATACAAAAATCACCATCTGTGAGAGATTTCTTCTTAATTACAAAAATAAAGTTGGTTTGTGTAGTTTTTCTTATGTGCTGAGATGATCCAGATAAGGAGATCTACCTGTGGAAATAGATTTTACGTGTTGCTCACTGAATCAAGAATCAAGTGTGCATTCTTATGCTGATCTGAATGAAGATACCGTCCATCTGCACTGCAGCATTGCCATTTGGATGTAAATTTAGAAGTATATTGCTAGTCATATTCTGGCAAAACCAAATCAGACTCCAGTCTGAGTAAATCATTCCTCGGGTAGTGTCGGCTGACAGTATTATAGGAGATCGATAATTATTTCAGTACAATCATTCCTGTTTAGTCAGCACCCTGGGGGATTTCTTTCCCAAAACGGAAGGTCTTCACTCATTCATTATTATTCTGGCCTGGTCTCTAAAAAGAAAAACAATTTTTAAAAAACTCAGTAGTTAACACTATATTCTAAATTAACCATGTTGGTGACCACAGACATCTAGTTCAGTAATCCGACAGGGGTAGTGACTGTAAATCTCTTTAATTTAGACTATTTGCCCAGGCAACGTTGGGAACTCTAATTCTATCAGTATTCAACTTCCTTACTAAACTACGTTTCCCAGGTTTCTTCTGGAAAAAAAACCTCTGGACTTCTGATTCTAAAGTGCTTAGGATGCAATTTAATAGATTATCCACATGTTACTACACCCCAAGGACAAGAACCACCTTTCCTTGATAAAGATGTAAGATTGAAGGTTTGTGTGCATTTCATATTTGCAAACACTGCAGGAGTTCAGCAAGTAAAGCAAAGCTTACTGGGAACAGTGAAATCTATTCTTAACTACTTTGAAATGTGAAGTGTAATGAATACCAACATAAACAGCTTTTATACCAAGATTTTATAACTCCTCTCCACAAATCTAATGGCTATATAGGCAGAATACAAAAAAAGTAGAGTAGCAGAAAAGAACTTTATATTCCTAAATATCCATCCCCAAATAAATATGGCTACCAGATGTGGAGTGCAAATATCCAGATGAGCCACTAGATGGCAGCAAAGATATGAAGAAAACGCCAACCCTTTGCTGCCATCCAGTGGTCATTTGGATTTTGCTGCCCAAATTTGAGAGCCCTACTAACAGAAGACCTGTCCCTCTAGGAGATAAAGCACTTGTGGGGATAACTATTAATACGGTGATTAATAATAACAAATTGCAAGTTCTATCCCACAAGTTTCCACTAAACTCCGTCAAATCTCAAAGCAATCAGGACAGTGTGGAGATGCATAGTAAAGAATACATTAAAAAATCACAGGCAGAATGATGTACTTAAATCCTTACTCTACCTACCCATTCTCTACTACAAATATCTGTATCGTATCCCTGTGTTAACATTATGAGAAAAACTTTTGATTAGTTCTCTCATGTGCAGAATTCTCTCCTCAGAAACAGAAGAATGGGGCTTCATCTGCATTAGGGAGTCTTCATATTAAGAATCTTTATGGCACAGATAGTGGATAAATGTGAAACCCAGAGAGATCTAATGAAATCTATTTTCTATCCCTTCTGGAATTTGCATAAAACATCCACATCCACTAAAATCTAGAACAAACAATACATTCCCGAGGACAGAAGCTTTAGCAGTATCCTGCTGAAGTTCAGATCCAGCTTCAACATTTCCTATCATGGGTTGTTTAGGTGCCTGTTTCTTAAGAAATATTCAGGCTATGCTCAAAGCAATATATGCTGTGAAATTAATGCCGGCCAGAGACAGGGATGCACTTTATATCTACTGCATTAATGGTTGCCAACAGGTCCTCTTCAAGATACTTATACTTCCCTAGTTTTAGAACTAGCCTACACATCTAGCAGAACCGCTCAGTTCAGCTTTTCCTTCCCAAATGCAGGTGGAGGACTATATGTTTGAATAGGATTCCTCCATAAAATTGGGAATATATCCTGAACACCGAAGGTTAGCTTGTTAGAGGAAATTGTCAATTTCCACTAGAACTCTTTCATGTTCTCATGGTTTACATATAGAATTCCCTCTATCGCAGGGAACCCAACCTGCAATACAAAGAGATCAGAAATAGCAGAAGTGTGTCACACAATTTTCTGTCCAAAGAGCCTGCCTCTTACTATTTGAGAACTGCAATAATGGACTGAATTTTCGGTGAGCCACTGCATAGCAAATGAAAGAATTCTTACCATGAATCTGTGGCGTTATGTTTTTTCTCACGACATCTCATAAATTCTGCAACTCTGCCCCCTTTTTGGAGGGAAAAGAATCCATTCTGAGAGCAGAACACCAACCTGCATAATAAACAGAACTGCTGAAGTAGCTGTTAACTCATCTTCTAAAAAGCCATGTTTCATTCTCTCAGCTGTACCTTAAATCTAAAATAGAATTTCTGAAAAGGCACTGTTTAACTGATCTGTTAATCCAAAACTTGAAAAAAACCAGCATTTGTGTTTATAATATTTATTTGCAGTCAGATGAGTATTTAGCAGGTTTGCCTATCAGAACTGGACTGTGAAGGTGAGATGTTACAGAGAATGGGAAACCAGTATTATCAAATGAATCACAGTCTACAAGCAAAATAAGATCTATAAATATGTGCAGAATCAATAATTCAATCTAATTCCATCTGTAAGTATATAAAATACCACAAAATGCATGATGTAGCATATTCTTAAAAAAACTAGACATATGCGGCATTCACTCTGCAGCTTCCCCACCAGTCTTTGTAACTCTGGGTAAATGTTAGTATTCAAGAAAACTTCTCATCTTATCTTCCCATGTAGACCATGGCAATGACAAGGATACTTGTGTTACTATAGTCTATTTAATATCTCAGTACCATGACATTAGTAAGTGTAAGGAAAGATATTTCCAACGTCATCTTTGTTTCTTGTTTGCTATACTGCTTAGTACTCTAGAGCAGGGTTCCTCAACCCTCATCAACTTTAAGATGGGTGGACTTCAACTCCCAGAATTCCCCAGCCAGCATCCCAGCAGAATTCTGGGAGTTGAAGTCCACCCATCTTAAAGTTGATGAGGTTGAGAAACCCTGCTCTAGAGAACAACAGTATTATTTCTAACATAAAGCTGAGGATTAGAAAATTCCTATACTGAGTCATAGTATTGAAAGGGAGAGTGAATTATTATTAGTAGTATTAGTATTAGTAATAAATTAAAGGTCAGTCTTATTTATAGTGATTCAGAGATAATATGTGTATTGAATCTAGAGCATTCTGGTTGTAGAACATGGAATAGCCATGTCTTCCTCTACGTTCTATCTCCTCCCCATTAGCTTAAGCAGGCTATCAATGGAGAGAGAGGACAATGGAAAACACATTCTCCTGCATGAAATAAGTGCCTTTTTGATGCTCAAGGTGGAACACCCACCGTAACTCTCCAGTTCCAAACCACAAGAATCTCTTCCAAGGAATATACCAACATACCAAGGAATGTTCTTTATCACCGAGTTACTTCATATGGGGTTCTCACTTACAGAAAATTGCAGCATACAACTGAACCCAAGAGAGAAGAGATAATCCGTAATCTCGGATGGTGACAAAATGACTGGCCACACAAAAAAAAAAAACTATTTTTTTTCAATAAAAATAAACTCACTTTTTCTGGGTTTCTCCAGCCTTGATTCTGACCACTCGTATGCTGAATTCAGGGATATCCCACCAGTTGCTCAAACTGAAAAACGAATCTTTCTCCCACTGCAGTTTTACCATAAGCAGATCTCCAAGGTCATCTTCGGTATATACCAGGAAGGAACTTGTTTTGTTAGTGGAGATCTCAGGCCTGTTTTAAAAAACAAACCACACACATCTTCAGTCAGTGCTTGTCTTCCACTTACCTCAGGATCCTATTCCTTTATCAGAGAACTTGAAGAAACAAAGGTCTTCACTCACAGGATATAACAAAACCTTTCAAACAGGAAGAGCAAAATCAGGTCATTAAAATACCATTCCAGTCCTCTTGTAAATCCAGGGAATCCCTATGTTCTGCTAGGGATCCAAATGCCATCTCCAACATCCTCCCTCTCCTGATTCTGCTGCTAAATTTCAGATGTATCAGCCCAGCCTCCCACATCTTGTCCTCCACTCTGCCACTGTACTCTCTCCTGGTTTCCCTAAACCTGGTCCCAGCTACTACATTCTCCCAACTTCCTTTCCCTACCACTTGAAAAGCCCTCCACCAAGACTTCTCCTCCTTTCCTCATCCCATCACTTCATGTTCTCCTTCCACCTCAAGGAGTTCCTTACATAATGATATGGATTACTGAATTAATTTAAATTTTGTTTTGCTCTGACTTTTTAATCTTTTTGTTGCAGACCTACTCCTTTTCAGGGAGTGGTAGCCCTTGGTGTGGCACTCAAAGCCTGGAACAACCTATGCCCAAGCAAAGTCGGCTTTCTGTTATAAGTCTTCCTTCCCTAACTTGGTGTCCTCCAGATGTGATGCCACTCCAACTCTAGACAGATACGGGAATGGAGGAGCTGCAGTCTCAGTCTATTTGGAGGGCACTAGGTTGGGGAGGATTAGTATAATCTTCACAGTAGCAATCATATATAGCCAAAGAGAGACATCTCAAGGAGCATCAGTTTTGTTCCAGTACCAGCCCTCTTTCCAGATCCCTTTCATTCACAGACATGTCCATGCCCATAAGATGCCAAGACAGTAGCTGGCAGCAGAGCTATGGGTGACTGCAAATTGAGACAATTCAGACTAAAATATGCAGCTGGTGATCCCATTTATTACTCCTGCTAGATCACATACTATATCTAACGAGTGGTAAGCGCCAGTGTGCTCACTGACCCATCCCTTACACGCTTTTAATTTTAAACATTTATTGGGAAGCTGGCATGCACCAACATGTTGTCCTAGGAAATAACAGGTTTTCAACCTAGGAGCATCTCACCAGATTGCCTTTTAATAAATGACTGTTTTGTGACTGACCACGTCCACCATTGAAGCCCCCCATGATTTCATAAGGATGGCCATAACTTGCTCTCAAAATTCCCAGTAAAGCTGACCTACACTTGTCTTACAATATAGGAAAACCTAAGTTCAGATGTGTATATATTTTGTGACTCAGTTTTTAATTCAACTGAATTTACATTAACTTATCAGTTTCATGATTGTCACTTTTGTATTTGAACAAATCAGAGGAACTTTTCACAGCAGATGGAAGCCCCTAGCTGACCTTGGCTGACCTGAGAAAGCTAAGCAGGTTGGAACTCATTATTATTTGGGCGGGAGACCACCAGAAAATTCCACAGCTGTAGATTAGGCAGGGAAATTGGAAAAAACTTTGCAGGTGAAAACCATGGCAAACCAGCCATGAAGAAAACAACATGGCTATGGAAAGACTACTTTTTAGAGGAACATGGCCATATAAGGTCAAAACAAAGCAAAACTCACCACTCCTTAAAATAAAAGGGGATAGATCAGTGGGAGTAAAGTGATACATACCATTATTAGACAATTCATATCTCCCATATGAGAAAGGGACTTCAGGAAAGCTTAAACTTTGCTATATATAGTAGATCATTACCACAGAAAGTATATACTGCTGCTTAGCTCATTTTTATACTGAACCAAATAGTTGCCTTTGTATGCAAAAGGCCTGATCTCAGGGTCATGACATGTACTTTTTATTTACTTCACCCAAGCAAATGATACAGAATGGGAAGCCACCATCTGTATAGGTTTCTGTATACAGAAAATGCAGAAGTTTCCCAAACAGAGCAAATGAATACAATCAACTTTCTCTTTTTTGTGCTTGCAGGGTGTGTCAACAGCCTCAATGTTCTCTCTTTTGTGCCCTTCCTTGAAAAGGGGAGAAAAGTGAAGATCACTCACTTCTCTCCCTTTTGCTTAATATGCAAAAGGTTATCTGAGCACTCCTGATGCACCCTGGGAACACTTAAACGGAACAAATGTGCCACATCCTTCAGTGAAAACCCGCAATGTACACATGCAGGAACCATTCTCAAGTGACTTTGCAGGCAATTTCTGCAGGCAATAGGAAGATGTTTTTAAAAAAATAAAGGGCAGAACTAGGCCTAGATAATGCAACTGCATATTGATAAAAGCACAGGCAGTTGTTTCTGTCGATACTCACATTACAAATGCTATGTTCTCACTGTCCTTCTTAGTGCCATAGAAAGAAATACGGAATGGTTGGTTGGTTGTGGTGATGTTCAATTTTCCAAAAAAATGTATCTTGACCTGGAAATGAAAGACTGAGAGCAAAAGATGCAAAATATTACCAATAAATACTTTAGCCTTGAGTCTGCTACTTTTGGTTTGGCAGATAATACTTTTATGCTTAAGTAACCAAATCAAATTTGTAGACATCATTTCACAAGATTTAATGAAAGACCCTAACTCTAACTTTAACCCTAACCCCAAAAAATCTCAGATATATTTGCAAACAGAAGGGGGAGAGGTATAAAATGCCAATATTCTCCCATCTAATTTCCCATAAAGTCTGAGGATCAGATCAAAATATTATTTAGCAATTCTATACTGCAATACTAAGTATGTTGTATAGGGTAAAGGGGCTTCTTCCTATGGACATTACTCAGGCTGATTAATTCTAAGAATAAATTATCTAATTCTGCCATAATGTAAAAAGCTATAAAGTTATAAATCTGAATAAAGTTCTGTTATTATGAGATTTTGAAGTATCTTTATATCTTTGACCCCCAACATTTATTGTATGAAAATAATTTAAAAATTACTATTTTAACTAATATACTACAAATAATAGCAACAATAAAGAATAGTCTCATCGACTCCTGGGGGTTGATACTGACCACTTTGGGGAATCCTGTCTTAGAGAATCTGTATTCTCTTACAAAAATATTAGTTCACTGGATTGATTATACATCAATGTATAATTGGATGGCTTATTATAGAGGGCTTATGCATCTGAAAATTGCAAACATATCACATTTGACATGAACTGCTTAATTTTCAATTTCCACAGTAGGATTAATTAAAACAAGTGCATAATTTGAACCTAATAAGTTTATAGTTCTTAAATTTGTAACAAACTCCGATTTTAATCAAGCAGAATGCTATTATGTCAATGAGGCCTGTGCAGATCTTTCTGCTCAATTTGTTCTGAATTAGTTTGTTTTCACACGTTATGACAATGGCAAGTCCACATGACCTAAAGCTTTGCAGCAGATCAACGATACCTTTATAAGGCGCGTATGCACGAGTCTTTAGATACATTTTGCTGTTCCTCTTGCTTCTCACTCTTTTAACTTTATAGCCTAAATTATTGCAACGATTCTTTCTGCAGCTCAAGCAGAGCCCTCTTTCAAATGTTTCTCTTGAGTTGCATCGGTATGCCATTATTGGTTTTTCTTCATACAAGAGGGAATCAATGAAAAGGTGGATGGAACGTTCATGAGAGCATTTCAACAGCTGATCAGCATCTTAGGAAAAAGAACAGAAGCTGCACTGTATAGAGACGTATTTCTGTTGTTCAGCAGAGTATTTATCATAAGCAAGTCTACATCAAATGTTCTCCAGTGTAACAAATTTGGTGAGAATTCTCCTCTCACCCTCTGAAAAACTCTTCAGTTCTGAAGATATTATTCATTTTTAGTCACACTGAATGCTACTGTTTTGCTTCACTGCTTCTTCTTCAGTACTATTTCACCCTCCTTGGCTGCTACTTCCCCTTCCCTGAATTAAATCTTACCAATAATTTCCTCCTATTAGAGATTATACAATATTACCGATAATAACTACAATGATCTGCAGCTCATTGGACTTGGCTAGATAATGGAGGTATTAAGGACACCCTAGACTGAATAGCTCAAATGCGGGCATCTGTAATTGACCACACATAACAGGCACAGATGAGCACACTCAATAATATAGTTCTGCCTTTTACATGCCACACATAGTATCACCACAGCTGTTATCACTACAGCTGAAGTATCCCATGCATGAAATGACAAGTGAGAAGAACTCTAATGCATAACACGTTTGGAGTATCTCTGGACAATCTTTTACCTTGCTTCTACTGTAGCTCAAGAAGGGAAGTTAGTCAAGACATAAATCAATATTCCCTGATTCAAACAGATAGTTTAATGGGGGGAAATGCTTAATTTGGACCCAGCATGAGCAAAAAACTCAGCCCCATGAATGACAAAAATAAAGACTAACTCCTGCATTAATGGATGTTTCTATAATGGATCTAAGAAAGGGAAACAACTTTGAATAGAACTCACATTAATCATGAACAGTAGCAGCCACAGAGTTTCAATTATACCAATGCCTTTGGAGTGGGGAGCATTCAGATTTGAAAACTTACTGTGAAACCCTTTCTCAGCAATCAGGCGCAGGGCTTCTGCTATATTGCAACCTGGCTGGAAACCACCTCCATTGGGATAGATATCAACGTGGCCAACAGGCTTCTGTATGCCAATACTGCGATCTGGGGAGCCCCTTATGTAGGTATGCAAGACATCTACAAAGACAGCGTCATCTGGAGAAAGGCGTCTAGAAGCATCAGCATATTCAAAGTGAGGCCCAGCAGGATCTAAACCTTAATGGGAAGGTTGGGTAAGAGAGAAACATGTTGTCATCTGACCTCTGGATGGCATTTTTAATATCATGAAAAAATTTGCAGACATGCTCCATCTTTTATTTATTATCAGTGCCAAAATTCTTATCAATATCACTGGGTTTTACCAATGCTCTCCAGTAAATGAGAAGCATATCCTGAAAAAAACAAGTCAGAAACGAGGCAGACTGTAGTTTTAGAATAAGCAACAAGGACTCAGCTATAATTGGACTGTGCCCAAAGTAACATCATGCAGCGCTAGAATTATCACAGTCAACATGGAGCCTAAGATGACCTGTCCAGAAAAATCTCATAAAAACAGTGGTTTACTTTTTTTTGTTGTTGTTGTACTATAGACAAAATGAGATAAATGATCTAAAAATTCAATGTTATTTTTAAAAATCCAAATACAAAGATGTTAGAAGAGAAAAACGTATGAAAAGATGCACTAACAGAACAAATCCAGGAAAGGATTGTGCAAATGTTATATAAATGCTTTAAATATTTCTGAAATGTCAAGTACCTCATATAAAACTCAAATTCCAGCATTTATAAGTGAATTGCATGATTGTCTGAAAAGGCTGTTAATTCCTAAGTTATAACTAAGGCTGCGAATAAGTACCCATTTAAACTAAAAGCTTATTTTACAGGTCTGAATAGCTTATTTTACAGGTCATGTGCTACTTTATAAAGGCAGCAATCCTCAGTGCACAAATCCCACCGAAGCCAGTGACTTCTCAGGGCAAAGAGTTCCACAAAGGCACACATTAAAAAAAAAAAGAAGAGTAGGATAATTTTCAACACACAATGGCTCTTCAGAATCTTGAGGGAAAAGAAATGGTATGTATGCTGGAAAATACAGCTTTCATTAGCTCATCCTTTTATAATAGTTGCTACCAATGTATGCCAGAATTCAACATTAAAATATTTAGAGCTTTGAAGGATTCACAGCATTTCCCCTTCTAATTATAATTCTAACGCCAATATGATTTGCTTACCAGTAATTCTATTAATCTTTTTATTAGTCAGACTTCCAGCAATGCCTGCAGCGTGAGCACCCAGGCTGTATCCCAGTAAATGGACTTTGTCCAGAGAATAACCGAACTGCTCCTGAGAACAATCATTTTTAAAAGATTAAGCTCCAAAAAGCAAATTTTAATCTGTCATTAAAAAGCAAATTATCAGCTTCACTTCAAGGACAAAAATGTTATAGTCACAGCAGGAAAACCCATATAAAATGCAAATTTATATAAACATATGCAAGACAGCTATGGGACATAACTTCACAGCAGCAACAGAAAAATGGATTTTTTTTAAAAAAGGATTTTATGCTTAAAGCATTTAGAAAGACTTCTAAAGCCAGTGAGTCATCCTTCTAAATTATTGATAACCCAACCTTCTCTTTCAACAAGATGCCCAAAGCAGCACATTTAAAAAAAAAAAAACCATTTACGTATAAATACAAAACTTAAAAACAGTAGCACAGCAAAAATAAATAAAACAGCAGCCAGAAAAGAAAATATAAAACAGCAGTATTCAGCATCCTGCCCACCGTCTTTATTATAGAGAAGAGCATTTATTGGTGAAGGTACTAAAGAAAGACAGGCATTCCTGGTGAAAAAAAAATCAAATTGGGTTTTAGACGGATGGATGGATGCAGATATGAATATGGATATACTGTGAGAAAATTTTCCTTAGAGATACTGCAAAATGGGTGATGTTAGCAAATGTGAACACTTATCCTCATATGGGATGTGGTTTAGGGACAACAGAGCTCTGCTTATAGCCTGAGGTCTGCAAAATGCAAAGTATCAGAACTAGCCTGGCCTCATGTTTACTTTCCATTGGAAGAGATATTCAATTTGTGGCTACCTTCCACCTGGCCAGATGAGGAGAGGGAAAGAAGGCCAGTTGCAAACATTTTAAGTGAACTTCACCAGGCCTCCAATCACTTGTGAGCACTCAACAGTCATAAAAAATCAATTCTCACTTTACAGAGAATCAGCACTGCCTCACTGCTGCTAGGAACTGAATTTCAGATGAAGATCTGAACAGAGAGAGAGAGCCTTAAATATCCATTCTCACTCCAGGTCATTTGAATTGCAGCTTGTTGCATCCAAAAATTACTGAGAACAGCCTTATGTGTTCAGAAGGCAGTTTGAAGGGAGTATATTATAATGATGGAAGTATGGAGACTGCAAAGGAATGCATGGAATGAAGCAATGGTGCATAAGCACACTTGCAGAGATAGCTGGGAGCAGCTTCCATCACAGCCACACAAGGCTTGAAAAAGATGCAGCTGCTTTAACAATCCATAAAAAGCTGCTTCATGTACTCCTGTATGTGTTTCAAAGCACCTCTTATGGAGGCTATGGGCAGCCCTAATGCAAGGATGTGAAAAATAGTAACAGACTCATCACTGCCCAGCAGAGGGCAAGTTTGGCACATCAGGAGTGAAAAACAATCTGGGTCAAAGAGGTCACTTGGGTATATAAGCAGACACTCAGATATCTTCATCCCTTAATTATAAAACTGATCCTGACACTACTTGCATCAAACCATCAACCATATGGACTCTCACTCCCACAAGAAACAGAATTGTCAGTGCAATTCTTGGTAGGAATTCAGGTGAGAGCTGGAATATGAATGTTTGGAGGTTTCCACATATTAAGAATAATTATCAGAGAAAAACAGTATGATGGAGTTATCTATGCTACATACGTTAGCATATATTACATATGCTGATACCCAATAGACATGGACTTTTCCAAATGAGGAAGCATTCCAACATGTAATCCCCACCAAGTGGTACAGTTTAGCAACAGCTACATGATGAGAATTCACAGATTCTACTTTGTAAATCTTCAAAAACAATTTGGAGATGATCTGACAGTAAAAATAACTGCTGCATCCTGAGTTATTGCAGGTTCTGCCACGAAAACCCTTTCTCCGCCATTCTACACAAATGGGAAACAAAATAAATTGCTTTTCACTCCAAGGTCTTATTGCATGCAGTATGCATTTGCTGGCCGTACGCAAAAATATGTGAGTGGTTTCTATGATGGGAGTGCTGACAAGTCATCAAGCCACTTTTCCCCTTAAAAGTGTTAGAGCTAGAGGCGTGATGGGGCAGCAAGTGGACCACCTATAAGCTCCAGTGGCCTTTTTTAACTTAAAAATGTATATATATATAACTGCAGTTTCAAATACAAATCAGCTAGAAATAAATATAGCTAACATTGTGGGATCAGAAAGCCTAAGATCTGCTTTTAAGCTGGCAAAAATTCCTCATTTGGAAATGCCCTTAGTATGGGTTCCAGGTGTTCAACATCTTTAACCCTCAAGATGTTGTCGTAAACCACCCAGAGTCGTTTCAACAAGATGGGTGGTGACAAATTTGACAAATAAAAAATAAATAAATAAATAAAAATGTTGTGCTGTACAGAACCTGCAAATGGCTACTTACCTCCATCCAATTAACAAATGCAGCAATGTCTTCTCCCACCTGCTTTGTGAAGTCTGCAGACATTGAATAATGTAAACTGGATCGAGCTAGCCAATTAACCACAATGACATTAGAATCAGGCTCCCTGTCATACAGTGCCTTCACCAGCTTGGGAACCCAGCTCTCAAACATTCCAATTACCTAGAATATGATAAACCACATTACTCTATGTCAGTCTATAACAGTAACCCCAAAGTGTAGACATTATGTACACTTACAGAGAGGAGAAATATAATCATCAAATAATTTCAGAGTAGGTAACCATAAGCAAGTAATTTCTTGATGGATTAGGTCGGGGGTGCATTGATAGCAACCTTGTCCAACACGATGCTCTATGGATGTGGCAAACTAAAACTTCCATACATTTCCATGTTAAGAGATTACAGGGATTGCCCAATACATCTAGAAAACACCAAGTTGAGGAAGGCTGCCTGGGCATATGGTATTTTAATCCATAGAAGATTAATCCTTTAATAGATAGGAAATTCACTGCCACAAGTTGTGCAAAGGCCAGTATCATTATATAATTATTGAAAAAAAATGGAGAATCAATTAATTATGTCTGCCCTTCCAAGTAACCCCCATGCTGTTATGGCTATTTGAAGGGCATGAGATAAGCTAGTGTGTGACAACAAGCAGAATATTCTTGTGTTGTGTGTTGAGGATTTCTAGTGGATTTAGGGAAATATGAGGGAGGGGAAAATGAAGTTGACTTTAGAAAGAACTGAGAGAATTTGCACTGTAATGTTGAGCAAGCCATAAGTTTCTCTTTTATCTCAGTGCAGACCCTGGTGCTGAGGAAGTACATTTTATGGATGCTCATTTAATTATTATTATATTTTTATCCCACCTTTTTTAAATATAACTCAAGGTGGTGAATATACCTAATAACGCTGCCTATTTCCCCCATAACATCATCATATTATTGCAACAAAGAACTCTGCTTGCAATGATACTCAAGTCTCTTTTGTGTCACCTAGCCTGGAGGTGAGCTGCAAACTGATTCTAAGCACCACTATATAGTTAAAAGGAGGCAAGGAAAGTATTCTGTAACTTTATTAGAGTTACATCCTGCGTTTTTCTTCAAAATGGAACTCAAATTAGCTAGCGGTAATAAAAAGATAAAAACAAGCATTTCCTCTTACCGTCCATCCATGTACAATCACAAAGGTTTTACTGGTATGATTGAAGTTGCAGTCTGCTACACTTGTTTCCTGTCCAGGAACTAGGTGACAAACGTCCTCAACAGGATTTTCAGGTATCCTTAAAGAAAATTTACTCTCAATATAACTCAGGTCTTTCTTTTTTTCTATGTTTCCTGAAGTTAAAAAGAGAGAGAGAACATTAATGGTTTGAAAGAAAGGAAATGACAGCAAATAACATACCTATCTCCCTGAGATAGAAATTAATAAAGTAAGTAGGAAGCTATGACTCAGCACTATTAGCGCTTTATTAGCACCAACAGTGGTATCAAACTGGGCACAGTTGGGCCACCAAAATAATTATTTATCCTAGTACTTCTTTGGTACAGACTTCTGCAATGGTAGCTGGAAGGACAAATGGCCACCCATTTTGTTGATCCTTTAGGCTCCCATACAATGAAGCTAAACAAGAATATTATTCTCAGATGGCAAGAAAAGTCACAATGAAACATTTCATCTACAGGAAATTCAGAGTCTACCTGCAGAAATTCACACTTCTCATTAAATTGCTTATGATCAGTTTATAAGTGCTTCCAGTTTATACATACAGTATTTCCTTTGTTAGATGGATGTTTACTGATACATTTGTCTTCACCATATATTTTACCTGGACCACAATCTTTAGCCTTCATCACTAGCCTCTATTTGGCTCTTTAATAAAAGCTGGGGCAAAAACAAGCTTTATACTCAATAATTCCAGCAGAAAGTATTACCATACCATGTTCAAGAAGGGGCACAAAATGTTTTTTTAAACAAATTTAATCGTTTTAAGCCAATTTTGAAAAATTTTAATAAAATCTTGTAGGTTTGCAATTTTTTTTTAATCCATTCAATTGTGTCCAATTCTCAAAGACTGCCTAGACAAGTCCCAGTTTTCTCGGCACAGTTTTTCAGAAGTGGTTTGCCATTGCCCACTTCCTAGGGCTGAGAGAGAGAGACTGGCCCAAGGTCGCCCAGCTGGCTTTGTGCCTAGGCAGGAGTAGAACTCACGGTCTCCTGGTTTCTAACCAGATGCCTTAACCACTACGCCAAACTGGTTCTAGGTTTGCAATACCTCGTTATTAATTGTTACTGGGAATATATATTATATATTTTATATAAATATATATTTCCTATTGGAGTATGTTTTGATTGTGGTATGGATGGGGAACATCATCAGAAATAATGCAAATTTGCCTGCATAATTATGTAATATTTTATTAAACTCATTCCATATCACAAAAAAAAAAAAAAAACATTCTGCAAGTCATCCTGGTATCCTTTCCAACTAAGATTAAGTAAGAATTTTAGAAGCAGTAAGCTTTAAAAACCTGCATTTACATTTTACATGGCTTATATAGCACTGGGGCAATTTAACATTAGGCAAGACATGCAAGACATGGGTAAAATCTCAAAATAAATCTCCAGAGCGTCCACTTAAAAAGAGTTTAGGTAGTAAAATAAGGGAAAGCCCAATACCTTGGGGACCATTACTGGTTAAGAACAATTGTTTGATTTGATGAAAGGCAGCTTTATGGTCTCCTTAGATATACTTTTTACAAGAAGTTAGCAATTGGGCACAAGCAATCAGGACAAAGAACTAGCTTTGCTTGGAGAAGTTATATTTTACATAGGGCGGGCATAGAGGACAACACAGCCACTCCTGTGTGTCACTTATTCAAAATAAAGATAAGTGAAATGACTGCTTTCATATTAAACATATTAAGTAGCGTGTGGAGGGGGAAGGAAGAAGCAGATCTATACACTTCTGAGACTGTTGCAGCCCAAACGTTTATTGTACCTCTCATGAGGACTCTTGTCAATAATGGTTGGTATTTGCTGACAAAACTAGAGCTAGGTTTCAACTGGAGTCAATTCCATATAGATGAAAAGCTGTCCAGGCACTTTTCAGCAGAGATAAAGTAAGATCTAGGTATTCCACTGGGATAAGGGAACTACAATGAATCAACCCAATTTTGCCTCTTCATTTATGTATCACACTCTGAGTTCTATTTCCTGACATACTGAAGAGCCCCATAAGCTGATTTTTGAATCTATTGACAAAGTAAATCTTTGCAGCCATCAAACAGGTATGTCGTATACACAGAACTGTTATTCCAAGCACTTTTAAAATGATTCACCAGGCTGCCCAAACTGAACGCCTTCCAAAAGGGTTGGATTACAATATCCATAGTCCCCAGGCATGGTTATTTCTAGGCTATTTGAGGATGATAGGTCATAACACTCCTGGAAAGCACTAAGTTGGGAAAGACTATGCAAAATGCTGCTCTTTTACAAAGGTTAGAAAGCATTTTAACATAACCACATGGCTGTACGCTGAATTGTTTTCTGAATAGACAAACCATAAACCCATCCCTTAGTTTTCTAGGTAACACACGTCCTACTTAATCTACCTCCATCTCTCAAATATTTATTCGTCTTTTTGTAACAAATGTCAACAAACCTGCACTGCTGATTACTCAATTTTGTATTTGATGTATAATTTCCATGGGGATTTTACAACATTTCTGGAACACATTCGTGACTGCTGTTCAGAAACAGCAAAAACCAAATTAAAAATAAGGAAATACTATATTTGCATACAAGAATTGTAGTATTACTCTCAATTTGTTTGAGGTTATGCTTAATAACAAAAAAGGGAGTGGCTTGTAAAAGGTTTTAGGGATAAGATGCACATACTGTAATTTTGAATAATATCTTACTACTGCAAATTCATTAGAATTACTAACACTGAGCTAGTATTAAACTAGGCTGACACATCAGCCTACCTTATGTATTAGCACTACTGAAAGATATTCATTTAATATATAAGCAAAGCAATCCAGACTGCCCTGTTGGAAGTACTCTAAGCAACTTTATCACAGCAATAGGTCTGGCAGGAGGGGCAGGTTACAGGCCCTGTCTGCTAAAGAGCTCCATCTGATGGGACCCAGGAGAGGAGCCTTTTCTGCTGTGGCGCCCTGGAACATCATTCCCCCTGATGTGAGATTACCCCAACCCTCTTGGCCTTCTGGAAATCTCTTTAAACGTGGCTTTTCCAGCAAGCTTGGGGATCCCATGGAAAAAGTGAGGCTGCGAGATGGTTATATTGTGTGTAAGATGTTGGTCCATTCTCTCGTGGTCTCACTTATATTTATATATGTTTAATTGTTTTTAATGGACGTTTTAGACTTGTTTTTGTTTTATTGTACGCCACCCAGTCACGTTTGTGAGTTGGGCGGCTATATAAATTTGATAAATACATAAATAAAATAAATAGATTTGTGGGCAAAAGTTAAGAAGCAACATTTGTTTTCTCTTCTTGCAAGCAGAATATTAGACTTATTTGGATACTGATCTTACAGAAACACGGTGGAGGGCAGGAGAAATTCTGGATACAATACCTCCTCTAACTCATATATGTCATATTTCAATCCTATGCTTTAGCCCTTCATTAATAAAATAAAAACAATCTCATCTTTCTGCTCATAGGATGGACTGTTCTATAGAAGGGGGGGTGAACATCTGATGCCAAACTGAGTTTATAGCTTTCTCTCTGAAATTTCTGACCTAGTGGACTATAGGTCTAAACTTCAGCTTTAAAATAGTTAACATTTCAACAGCAGTATTTGGAAGAGGATTGCAAGTTGAGTTTTGCTTCATGAACCTAAAAAAGTATATCCAGTAGGAGGGAAGTAATGAAAGCAATTAAAGTCATTTGTTTACAGGAAAATGGTTTTCAAACACTGATATCTTTGGTACCTCTAGGACTATGTTCACATATACCACAATGCATTTATTAAGGCTACTTCTAAGTAAGTTTAATGAAATATCTCAAGGTATCTATTTTGCATACTGTTTTTGGCTACTTTATGGAACTCTCTTGCAAGCCAGACCTATTTAATTTAAACAACTGAAGTACCGTCTGTCACTGAAAATTGTTTATTCAAGCCAATCTGTGGAACTGTGTATTTTAAGCAATTAGCTAGTTAATATGATTGTAATTTCTTATAGTATATTCTGCATCTATTGTTAACTCTCCATAAGCATTATTTCAGCATTTCAATATAACTTCTGGCAATAAAATCACATTCAATTGCTTGTTGTTTAATACATTTTTAACATGGGTAAAATAAATATTATACAGGAGTACCAATCAAGGAAAGAAAAGCTCACATAAATTAATATGCCCTATGTTAAATTTAAACTCTACATCATTCCACTTAGAAATGGGAAAGTTCTGAAAGGTACAAAAAAATTACACAAAGTCCCAAAGAGATTGATAATTAAATGTTCTATATTTTAGCCATAAATTTTCCTTTATAGTATTTAACTTAAATGTATATTCTAGGTGTCAAAATTATTTTATAAATTTCACTGGCCTGTGCCTAGTAAGATAGTTTAGAATGAAAAAGCTAGGTGTATCTTTTAAATTGCTGCCTGATACTATTAATAGCATACGCAGCACTATAACTTGCCCTTATGAAAGAGTATTTAAGATTTTTTTTTAAATGCTCTTGAAGAGTTCACCTCCTTTACAAGTGTAAACTATTCAGGTTTATAACTAGTCTTATAAAGATTCCCAGCAGGAGTGTGAATTAGGTTTGCTTGAACCCTGAATAACAAGTTGAAATGGACCAATTTAGACCAGATTTGTGGTTGCACAGAATGAAGCAGAACACTGAACCATGAATTTCTTTGAGTACTGTGACTGTAGTTCCAGAAAGTCAGGTACTATGCCTACAAAAATGGGTGTATTGTTCACATTTCTCTGTAACAGAGAAAGGAGAGAAGTAGAGGACTGGAAACAAGAACTGATAAGTTCATTTATTTATTTATATTTCAAATTTAGATACCACCCATCTCACAAAAAGTGACTCTAGTAATCAAGTAATCAAACAAAAAGTTTACTATCTAATTACAGAAATCAGTAAACAGTACAGCGGTTATGACTCCAGGTGCCCTAGAACTGTGACATCACATTTATTGCTCTCAATTACATAATTGCCCATCTAAGGATGGCAAAACGGCTCGCACCACAGTTTATTACCTACACCACCATGTAGGTTTTCAAAGCTACTGTAACTGCCCACCCTCCACTATCTTCCTGAGATTTTCCTTCTTGGCCTAAAAGACA